CTGTGTAGTGTACAGTGGCTGAAGATCAAGACTTTGAGCAGCAGGGCATAGCATACTAAGGACTTGGTTTAAAATTCAGCATAAAATTCACAAGTAACCTAGGGTGCCTGGGTGGCTCAGTTGGTTAAGCGACTGCCTTCAGCTCATGTCATGATCCCAGAGTCCTGGGATTGAGTCCCACATCGGGCTCCCTGCTCCTTGGAGAGTCTGCTTCTCCCCCTGACTTTCTCCCCTCTCATGCTCTCTCTCACTGTCTCTCTCTCAAATAAATAAATAAAATCTTTAAAAAAAAAAAAAATTCACAAGTAACCTGATTAAATCTGCCATTTAAAAAAAATATTTTATTTATTTATTTGACACAGATAGATTTATTTATTTGACAAGTAGGCAGAGAGGCAGGCAGAAAGAGAGGGAGAAGCAGACTTCCTGCTGAGCAGAGAGCCTGATCTGGGACTTGATCCCAGGACCCTGAGACCATGGCCTGAGCTGAAGGCAGAGGCTTAACCCTCTGAGCCACCCAGGCGCCCCTAAATCTGCATTTTAAAATAATCAATGACAGCGGAGTAGAGGGTAATCTAAAGTGGGGTAAGATTTAAGGCAGGTATCAGTTAATAAGCTATGGCAGCAGGCAAGCAACAGACAAAAGGGCCTTTATATAGCAGAATTAACAAAAGTAGGTATCTTTAAAAAAACAAAACATTTTTGACAGAGAGATAAGAAAGAGAGCACACAAGCAGAGGGAAGAGCAGAGGGAGAGGGAGAGGGAGAAGCAGAATCCTTGCTCAACAGGGAGCCCGACATGTGGCTCAATCCCAAGATCCCAGGATCATAATGGGAGATGGACACCCAACCAACTGAACCACCCAGGCGCCCCTTGTGAAGACATATTTTGGCACTGGAATATGTAATATTTAATTCCTCATGTACAAATTTGGATTCTACCTAAGACTGAGCCTCTTAAATGTAGGAGTCTCTCTTTGGTATCTAGCAGGGATTAGAGAATTAATACATATCCGAATAATTATCAAACTGAACAGATTTGACATACTTGCTCAATCATATCCGTGGCTTACCAGGTCTTTTTACAGAGTATAGTTTGCATAAGAAATCCTGAGATTCTTATTAAAAATGTAGATTTTCAGGGCACCTGGGTGGCTCAGTGGGTTAAGCTTCTGCCTTCAGCTCAGGTCATGGTCTCAGGGTCTTGGGATCGAGGCCCTCTGCTCAGCAGGGAGTTTGCTTCCTCCTCTTTCTCTGCCTGCCTCTCTGCCTACTTGTGATCTCTCTCTCTCTGTCAAATAAATAAATTAAATCTTTTAAAAAATAAGAAAAATAAAAAAATAAAAATGTAGATTTTCAGGGTACTAACCTAAGCCTTACTGAATCATTATCCAGAAGCAGTGCCCCAGGAACCCATTATTTTATATAAGTTCTAGGTAACTATTATGCACATTAAAGTTTAAAATCATTAAGCAATTCTCGGGGCACCTTGGTGGCTCAGTGGGTTAAAGCCTCTGCCTTTGGCTCAGGTCATGATCTCAGGGTCCTGGGATCGAGCCCCACATTGGGCTCTCTGCTCAGCAGGAAGCCTGCTTCCTCCTCTCTCTCTGCCTGCCTCTCTGCCTACTTGTGATCTCTGTCTGTCAAATAAATAAATAAAATCTTTTAAAAAAACAACAACAACAACAAAAAAATCATTAAGCAATTCTCTAATCCTAGGAGATCTTCCTGGGGACATCTGCCATTCTAAAAACCTCTGTCCTTTCTTACCTTTGTTTGGATATCAGGTACTATATTTTCTACCAGAGATAGGATGGAGGAAAAACACATTCCTAATCTCAACAGTAAGTAAGCTGTATGAGTTTCAAAAATACCTGTCTTAGGAAAAACTTCTGTCACCAATTTCCCCCCCACTGCCAAAGTTTCCAATGGCATGATAAACATTAGATTTGCAAAATAAGCACTGAACTCAAACCACACATGGTACACTGTCCAGAGTTAGGAACTGGACAGTGTTTATTTTGTAGATTTGATTTAGATTTCATTTAGGAAAATTTTAGTTTTTCCATATACCTAATATATCAAGTGATAGCAAAGGGAATGGTTTTGTTTGTTGTTGTTGTTGTTTTCCCTTAATGCTGGGGTGATTTATAGTGCAACTAAAAGAAAAAAAAATTTTCTTCCATTTCTAGTCACTTAAATAATTTTTTAAATGATACCCTATTTGTTTAGTTTTTAAGCTCCTTTATAAAAACAAACTCAAAAAAAATTTTTTTAATTAAAAAACAAACAAAAAACACAGGGGTGCCTGGGTGGCTCAGTGGGTTAAAGCCTCTGCCTTCTGCTCAGGTCATGATCTCAGGGTCCTGGGATCAGGCCCCGCATTGGGCTCTCTGCTCAGCAGGGGGCCTGCTTCCCCCCCCCTCTCTCTGCCTGCCTCTCTGTGTACTTGTGATCTCTCTCTGTGTGTCAAATAAATAAATGAAATCTTTAAAAAAACAAAAACAAAAACAAAAACAAAAACAAAAAACCCCACAAATTCAAGGAATAGCCAACCCATAAGTAATGTGGTGTGTTTCTTAGCTAATATTTAAAATCAGTCAGTAATTTTCCCACATGATAGAAATATATTCCATAAGATTAATCACTGACAAAGGGGGAGATTTTAACCTATTATTTAAATGTACTTATTAACATAAGATTTAAATTCTTTTCTTGGTTTCATTCTCTCAATTGATAGGGGGAAGAGGCCGTGTGTCCAGAATTTTTGTCTTTTTTGGGGGGGAGGTAAGGTTTTATTTACTTATTTGAGAGAGAAAGAAAGCATGAGCAAGGGGAGGGGCAGAGAGAGGGAGAAGCAGACTCTCTGCTGAGCAGGGAGCCTGATGTGAGACTCAATCCCAGGACCTTGGCTTCATGACTTGAGCTGAAGGCAGATGCTTAACCAACTGAAGCATCTAGGTGCCCTCAGGATTTCTTTCTTAACAAAATTACATAAGATGACAAAGCGAAGCTCTATAAATATTGAAATAAATTCTAATATACTATCGTACTCCCTATAAAGTAGAAAGTAATGGTTTTTGTGAGTTAAGAAAGAAGCTACAAAAAAAATTAAAAGGCAGCTCTATTCCAAAAATTGAAAACAGTAATTTTGATCATATTAATATTTAAAAGATAATAAAATCAAGTCCCAACAGAATTAGGAACTTCACCAAAAATCACATGTTCAGACATATCATCTAAATAAAGAAAAATAAAATAATAAAATAGCAAATAGGTTTTGAATTCAAGGTAGGGCTAATTTAAAAGAATTCCCTCTTCATTATCACTGGCTTGCTGTTATCTATTTGTATGGGTCAGGGCTTTTAGAAAAAATTATGTGCCTACTGCTAAAAAAGTTTTAAAATCAGATTGTGGTAATGGTTGCACAATGCTTTACATCTACTAAAAAAATCTCCTGAGTTGTATATTTAAAACAAGTGAATTTTGTGGTATGGAAATTATGCTTCAATAAAGCTGTTAAAAAAAATTATATGTGTTTATAAAATATAGCAAATGAATGCCAAATCTCATTTTCTCAACATCCCAAGAGTTATCTTAACTTAGAAGCAATTAAATGTCATGAAGATACTAGGTATCACTAGTGACCACTGTATGCTGATGATCTGAGACTTCCGAACCTGTGAGACTACTCAGAGTCAGATGTAGGGGGCCATAGTTTAGACATTAATCCAGACTGAAAAACGTCTCAGAAGGCCATAATTTGACATATAATATGCAACTAGTTCATTCATATCCATATCAAAATGTCATTATTAGATGAAAGCTAGATGAAGTTACCCACTGCTTTGTCCTTGAACGGTGATAATAATTGTGCTAACACTTCTGTTACTCAAGTTTTTTAACTATCTGTGGTTCCTATGAGTTCATGAGTTCATTTACTTATCATTTTCTAAATTCCACAGACATTGTAGGTCCTGGGAATATATAATTTTGATGGGAGAAATATTTCCAACATAATGTGGTAAGTTCCAGGACAATGGTTTCACAAGGGTCAGGGGTCCGAGAAAACAAAGAAAAGTACCATTTATTATTGGTAAATAAAATAGCCTACAGGTATGGTATGGTAGAGAATGTTAACAAAAATTTCTTTGAAGAACTAACATCTAAACTGAAACTTGAAAGGATGAGTAAGTATCAGTCAGGAAAGGAGAAAGTGAGTATTCTAAGCAAAGAGAACAACAGCATGAACAAAGATTTAGAGGCATGAAACCATATACTACAGGGAGGGAATCAGTGACAGTACGAAGTTACTTACATTATTTCAAGGCAACGAGATATGGGAAAGAAAGCGAAAACAATATAAAGAATTTTTCATAAAAGTCAACTTATTCGGGTTAAACGATTTTATTTTAACCTTCTATTGATCACTTAGAAATGAAAAAACTACTTATTGGTTTGAAATTCCTATAAATCTGGGACCACTACTCTATCTTGTAGAAAACGGTTTGATAATGTGAGGTGCCCCCCCCATTTTCCAGCTCCCCCAAAACATTCCTTTATAAACATTGTTAGAATAATAGCAGGTTACTAAGGATGAAGTAACCAGAATATACTTTCACAACTACAACCAAAATATCACTTCCAACAGCAAATACTTGCTTTCTTTTATCATTAAACCCTTAAAAATAGAAAAAAAATTTTTTTTAAATTTACCTTAAAACAATCCAGTAGGGATGTAGTGAGGGTAGGGTAAGTTTACAACCTTGCAATCATAATGAAAATAGTTGTCCTGTACACAATCTTAAGTTTGTCAACCCTTTTCTCCTTTTCCAAAATCTATGCCACATTTGTATTTTTTCACTGGGTAATATGTTGCTAGTTCGTGAGACCTGCTGTTGCCAACTAGAAGAAAATCTTATAGCAGGGATACTCACACAATTATTTCATAATAGTTTTTCAATTTGATAACCTCAACCCAATACTCCAAGATCACTTACCTGTTTAACATTGTAACCTGCTTTTGCACTTGTTTCAATAAACATAACATTCAGCTCTTTGGCTTTCCTTTCTCCTTCCTCAATTGATACTTGCCTGTAAAAAAAATTTTAAAGATAAATTCTTCTTTTTGCAAATCTGATATTATAAAGATGATAAACAAGATTCTGAAAAGAACTTTTCTTGACGGGGTGCTGGTTATCAGGTGAGACTAGTTTGAAGATTCATTAAGCTGCAGTACACTTAAAATTTGTGCACTTCAGTGTATATGTTATATGTAACTAAACAATTTTTTAAAGAGGAATTTTTTTAGTGATTTGCTTTTACTTGGCAGGGCTCATCCTATAATTTTTTTTTTTTAAGATTTTATTTATTTATTTGAGAGAGGGAGAGAGAGCATGAGAAGGGAGAAGCAGACTCCCCAAGGAGCTGGGAGCCTGATGTGGGACTCAATCCCAGAACTCCAGGATCATGACCTGAGCTGAAGGCAGTGGCTTAACCAACTGAGCCACCCAGGCATCCCAATTTTTTTGTTTTTAAAAACTTAGTATCTGGCTATTTTCTGTTCATATTAGATCATAATAATTTAGCCTTATGATTAAAAACTTCAGGTAAAATAATTTTTCATGACCAATTTGTCAATCTGCTACTATAATTTACATAACCACTCCCAAATTGTTAAAAATGTTTTTTCCAAATTTTATACTACTGTGAAAATGCTACTATAAACATCTTGACATAATATTTTGTGCACTGTGGGTCATTTCTTCAGGATGGATTTTGTGGATTTCTCTAAGTGGAATAAGTGAGTCAAAAGACATGTATGTTAAAGTCTCTTGATACATTTTATAGGGCTTTTGGTAACGCATGATAATTAGCAGTGTCTCTCAAACTGTAATACACTCTTCAAGTGAAACATTATGTCACTTATTTTGGTATTCCTAGTGCCTAGCGGGCACACAGGTTTGTTTGTTTGTTTGTTTGTTTTAAGATTTTATTTATTTGACAGACAGAGATCACAAGTAGGCAGAGAGGCAGGCAGAGAGAGAGAGAGAGGGAAGCAGGCTCCCTGCTGAGTAGAGAGCCCGATGTGGGACTCCATCCCAAGATCCTGGGATCATGACCTGAGCCGAAGGCAGAGGCTTAACCCACTGAGCCACCCAGGTGCCCCCACACAGGTGTTTAATAAATATGCAAATATTCTAATTAAATGGATCTAAAATATCAGCTGACAAACCTTGCTTCCTACAATACAGAAAACCAAAGCAATACAAGAGAATTTCCACAAGCTCTCACCAAATCTATCCACTGATCTACATGTGTATCCTTATATTCTACCTCTAGTCCTGCTACTATGGAGGAAACTGTCCTTACTCCCCAGACTTACACGTCTGCACTAGATTCCACTATCTTCTTATTTATAAGAAGATACTACTCTAGAAATTCTCCACTCTCTGGAAAAGTCAGGAAAGAAGAAAATGAATATTCTAAGCAAAGAGAACATCACAATATTCTCTTATACAATCCAAGTGTTAATGTTTTGCTACATCTGCTTGTTTTATCCTCATTCTCTATGTATTTGCATGTGTATATACACTTTAAAAAACACACATTTGAAAATAAGTTAACAATCTGCAGATCTTTAGCCCTAAATATACCTACAGAATTAATTAATTGGTTAATTAATTAATTTAAGATTTTATCTATTTACCTGACAGAGAGAGACCATGAGAGAAGAAACACAAACAGGGGAAGTGGGAGAGGGAAAAGTAGGCTTCCTACAGAGCAGGGAGCCAGACACTCAGCTTGATCCCAGGAACCTGCCCTAAAATTTACTCCTTGGACCTTGTCTCTATTTACAATCTCTCCTTTGGTGATCTCATACAGTCTTGTGGCTTTAAATACCATCTACATGCTGATTATTTTCAAACTTACATATCTAGCCTGGACAGCTACTCTGAACTCCAGACTCCAATATCCAATTGTCTACCTGACACCTAATTAGATGTTAGGATATCTAATATCAAGTCTGAATGAATGAATGAATGAATGAATTTATGAGGGGGGGGAAGGGAGGGAGGGAGGGGGGAGTGAGAGAATCTTAAGCAGGCTCCATGCCCAGCTCTGGGCCCAAAGCCGGGCTCCATCTCACAACCCTAAGATTATGACCTGAACCTAAATCAGGAATGAGACGTTTAAACAACTGAGCCACCCAGGCATCCCCTAGCAATTCTAAATTTAAAATGACCAAGACTTGGCTGGGCAGCTGCCTTTGGCTCAGGTCATGATCCTGGAGTCCCAGGATCCAGTCCCACATCAGGCTCCCTGCTCAGCAGGCAATCTGCGTCTCCCTCTGCCCCTTCCCCCCGCCTCATGAGCTAACATGCTGTCTCTCTCATTCTTTCAAATAAATAAAATCTTTTGAAAAGGTAATAATAAAAGAAAAGAAAATGACCAAAACTGAAGTCATGATATACCATCCCAAACCATCTCTTTATGTAGTCTCTCCCTATCTCAGTTAATGACAATTACTTAGGCTAAGAATCTAAGTGTCATTTTGACTTCAACTTCTCCCTCACTGCATATTCTGGCAATCATTATGCATTATATTCATTACATGAATGTATCTTGACAGTTTCATCTTCAAAATATATCTGAACTTGACCACTGATCACCACATAAGCTGCCACTATCCTGGTCCAAGTCATCATCATTTCTTGCTTGGATTACAGTCTAGATTACCCTCCTTACTTCTACTCTTACGTATTTTCAACAAGCAAACACTGATCTGTGAAAAGTTACTCTTCTACTCAAATCTTCCGATCTCATTTAGAGTCTTTGCCCCACTTTGCCCCACTTGATCTGGCCTTTATGATCTTTTTTTTTTTTTAAACCTCATCACCTCCTACACTTTCCATCATTCGCTTTACCACCTATATAGGACTCCAAGCTGTTCATCAAAAAAAACGAAGCATATTCCCAACTCAGGGATTTTGCATTTTCTGGGCCACGAGCTTAGAACCTTTTCCTCCTCTAGATATCTGCATAGTGACTCCCTTCCTTCCTTAGTACTCGAAAGGCATCAGTCATCTTCTCAATGAAGTTTTCCATTGCTCTCCCATTTAATATTTCAAACTCACACTTGGCATTTCAAATTTCTTTTTTCTGCTTTATTTTTTACTCTTAACATGTATCATTATAGAAAGTACTACGTATTTTTAAAATTATTATTATTATTATTATTATTTATTTATTGTCTGGTTCATTCTCTGAAATAAAAGTTCCTTGGAGGGGCGCCTGGGTGGCTCAGTGGGTTAAAGCCTCTGCCTTCAGCTCAGGTCACGATCTCAGGGTCCTGGGATCGAGCCCGCATCAGGATCTCTGCTCAGCGGGGAGCCTGCTTCCCTCTCTCTCTCTCTCTCTCTACCTGTGATCTCCGTCAAATAAATAAATAAAATAAAATAAAATAAAAGTTCCTTGGAGACTTGTCTTTTTTTGTTCACCATTCTATCCTAGAGTAGCATCCTCTGAAACATAAATGATACTCAATAAATATTTCTGAATGATTATTGTAAGTGAATGATTATCCTACACATAAATGATTCCAGACAGAAATTCTTCCTAGTTTTAGAACTAGTAGTCACCCTGATAAAATGGCTGAAGGTTAGCTACAGCAATGGTCCCAACTATGGTTTGATTTTGTCAGAATCACCTAGGAAGACTCATTATAGATTCAAGGGTCCCACACTGAACTAACTGAATTACAGCATCTAGAGAGAGGATTTAAAACCCTAAAATGGGGGCGCCTGGGTGGCTCAGTGGGTTAAGCCGCTGCCTTCGGCTCAGGTCATGATCTCAGGGTCCTGGGATCGAGTCCCGCATCGGGCTCTCTGCTCAGCAGGGAGCCTGCTTCCCTCTCTCTCTCTCTCTGCCTGCCTCTCTGCCTACTTGTGATTTCTCTCTGTCAAATAAATAAATAAAATCTTAAAACAAAACAAAACAAAACAAAACAAAAACCTTTAAAAAAAATAAATAAAACCCTAAAATGGGGGCACCTGGGTGGCTCAGTGGGTTAAAGCCTCTGCCTTCAGCTCGGGTCATGATCTCAGGGTCCTGGAATCGAGCCCCACTTTGGGATCTCTGCTCAGCAGGGAGCCTGCTCCCACCCCCCCCCTTTCTCTCTGCCTGCCTCTCTGCCTACTTGTGATCTCTCTCTGTCAAATAAACAAATAAAATCTTTAAAGAAAAAATAAAAATAAAAAAATAAAACCCTAAAATGTTTAAAGTTGACCATGGCCCTTCACAGCCAGAATCTTAAAAGAGGGTCTAAGAAGCCATATTTACCAACTGATTCTCAGGTTTAGAACATTTGGGAATCACTGGCTACAAAGGATAGAAAGTACTACACAATGGGGTGCTTATATTGAAACGCTGAAATAGATATACTCTGGTATTTCCTCCAAGTTTTTACCAAAATAATATAATTCTCAATGTGATAAAGACATTTAACTTTGAATCATTTTTATTAAAACATTCTCTCCTGATTACAAAGTAATTTTTTTAGAAGACCAATCATTAACAGTAAAGTCCTCCATAATCCCAATCCCTTCCCAAAGATGTAGAATGAGTTAAATTCCATGTATGCTTATGCAGATTTGTTCTAAGCAAAAGAATATATAAACATATCTACCATCTTATTTTTTTTAACAAAAAGGATATCATGCTACACATGATAGCATGTGTGACTGAGCCACCCAGGCGCCCCGAGTCAATGAATATTTTAAATTCTGATACTGTTGAACTGTTTCATCCCTGAATTATATTAGTTACAGGGTGTCTGGGTGGCTCAGTCAGGTAAGCATCTGCCCTTGGCTCAGGTCATGATCCTCAGGTCTTGGGATGGAGCCCCATGTCAGGCTCCCTGCTCAGTGGGGAGTCTGCTTCTCCTTCTCCCTCTGCTCTCCACCCCCTTTCACTTGTGCTCTTGCTCTCTCTCAAATACCTAAATAAAATCTTTCTAAAAAATTTATTTGTTATATTTTCAGTACATGAGAGTTCTTGTTTATTTAGATTCTTGAAATACTGTTCCTTATCAATCTTCTGAATAACGACTGATCTAACAGGTGAATATGATCTTTGTATTTATATATTCAGACTTAACCAAGCTTTCTCTTTATGGCTTTAGGATTTCATGCCAGGCTTATAAAGAGCCACCCACCTACTACCAAAAAATTTTTCTTCTAATGCTTTTTTAAACAAACATTTAAATCTTTTATTCATTTTAAAATTAAAGGGTGATGATCTGGCAAAAATTGCTGAGAAACACAGTAATTCCTAACCAATGGACAAATATTATCTTGAAGAAAAAAATCACTTTAAGTGTAATTTAGGTAAGTTTCTAGCATTGTGTACTCAACTGAAATATTCCACAATAAAACAGATGCTATATGCATCCTTTTAGATAACTCTGGCTATTATAACAGGAAACAATTCACATATACAATTTTCCTACTTAAAAATGAAAGTACCAGGGACTCTCTACCAGAAGAATATATACCTACATGATCTACAAATTCTCACAGTGGAGATAAATAAAATAGTGAAAACTTATGATGCCAATTGATGTCCAAATAATTATTTTCATAAAGGAAAGATGCTCATATTCTGAGTTTACTTTTAAATCAAGAAAGACTTTTTTGTCATTCTACTGCCAATTCCAAATGAGGTACCATGGGAAAAAATGGGCTTAACATTTCCACAAGCCTTTGAACATACTGGATTTTCTTTGCAACATTTTAATTAATAGTGCAAGTTCAGTACCCGAATTTCAATATCCAACTCATGAATAAAGAAACAGCAAATAGTAAAAGCTTCTACTATTAAGTAAAATGGTCAAGACTATTTAAACCAGAAAAAATATCCAGTAGATTACTTAGGATGCTGAAGGCAGATATTCAAGCCATGGGTTCTACAGTGAATGTTAATTTTGCATCCTGTGACTTGAATATGGCTTTGCTCATTTGACTAAGGTATCACAATCAAGCTATTCAGTTCAACTACACAGTCTGGTTCAACCATACAATTTAAAAAAAGAAAAACTACACCACCGAATTATAATGAATATTTATAAGACTACCAAAAGAGTGTGCATTTAATCATTATGAATAATTTTTAAAGATAGGATTTGCTCTTAAAACATTTTGTTCTTTAACAGAACACTGCTCAGGTTTATGAGGCCTAAAAAATGCAAAACAGTTGCCAGCTTCATGTGTAAATAATCTTTTTTCCCCCCATGTGCACAAAAGCTATTTACACATGGGCTTCCACAAAACAAAAAAACTAATTTTCCTTTGAGGACTGAGGTTAATGTTTACATTTATATTTCAGGTTCTTACACTGAAGAAAAGTAGGGTATAAACTTAAGAATTAAACATGTTTCCTTTCAAAACAATTCTTCAGTAATAAAAATAACAAGCTGATTAATGAAGAAATCAAACATCTGATACACACACAAAATCACTCTATACCTCTTGTCAGCAAGATCTGTTTTATTTCCTACTAGCATGATGATAACATCACTTCCTCGTTCTGTTCTGACATCATCAATCCATTTTGTAGTTTGCTGGAATGAGTTAACATCTGGTATAGGAGGGTGGACAAAGAGATTAGTGTTACTGCAAAGCCTCCCCAAGTGATAAACCAAAACCAAAACCAAACAAACAAACAAAAAAAACCCAAAAAGTTGGGGAGGGGGTGGCACATTAGGACCCACTTTTAATGTGCCTGCAATATAACTCCATTTTATCTGAGTACAACTGTCAGTGATATAAACAAATAAGAAGACTAAAGTCCTCAAGGTTCCTTTTATAGTAGTTTAAAACTTTTGAACATAATCAATGAGTGTAACATACCAGATGTAAGGGGGGGGTGGGGGGGAAATTTTTAAAATGTTAAGGACAGCTATGGCAGATAATATGGTGTCACATTGCCACAATGGTTTTTTGATTACTTACACATACCCAGCATGACAAAGAAAGCATCTCCAAAAGTAGGTCAGCCAATAAATCCCAACACATCCAGAAATTTTATGAAGCCTTTAAACAGCTTTCAACACCACTCTGTTTGCATTGCTTATTCAGTTTGTGATCACTTTAACTTGAAGTTCATTAGTTTAATGCATCAGAATCACTTGTAACAAAATCCGTTTTTCCTAGCACTAGATTCTAAGTAGAATACTTCAGTATTTTTTACAGCAGCTTCAGAGAACAGTTTACTAATATTTTAACCACATGTGCACAATTTTTAAAGAAAAATACATAAGGTCTCACTTGCTTTGGTTAAAGTAAGCACAAACATTTTAAAGCTGCAAAACTTGTCAATGCACAATAATAAACATACACTATTTTAAACAAGTAGCAACCCAAAGTAAAGCTTCAAGAAAAGAAAGCTTGCATATAGCCCCTAATCCACCTCCAAAAAAGGTCTCTGAATGCAAACTTATAATTCTGCCATTGCAATTAAGTAGATATCACTTCTGGTTGAGCTAATATGAAAAAATGTACAGTAAGAATATCACTAGCTCAAACCAATAGTTTATGTAAGATTCTTTTTAAAATAAGTTTAAGATGTAACATTATTCTAGTTTTCCTACAAATTATGGACCACTATGTGGAATGATGGCTTAATATTGCCTAATATCTATAATAAACCAATTTACAAAGACAATTTAATCAGAGAGCATTTCCCTGTCAGTCACCATATTCTGTGGAAAATTTATAGGCACTTAAAATGCCAAAGGCATTACTCAGTCTTCAGGGAAAAGAAAAAGGATCACTACTTGTTTTAATCTCCTCTTTAAAATTTCTTGTTGGAGAGAAATTAAAGTGCAATTTGTTAGCAATAAAGTCAGTCACAGAATCCAGATATGATTCAAATGAAAATGATTACTAGAAAACTGCACATTATTACGTTTTCTCTGC